TATTCGCCTGACGTTTCGATATCCGTCGCGGATTCTTCATCAGAGACATGAGCAGAAAGCGATAGCAGAAACGGGAAGTTATACTTTTCTGCTCATGTTTCTGATGAAAAATTCGCGACGAATGTCGAAACTTCAGGCGGATACACGAGTTGTACCAGCAATCGATTCTTCTTCTTCTTCCTCGAAAGTAGGATTAGTTTACGCTCACGAAAAAGAAAACGATAACTCACTTTTCCATTCCGTAACAGTGAGATTATCCTTGTTTATAAGTTCGTCCGTGAAGGGTTCGGCCACTGGTTCATCAGATTCGTCATGGTAGGTTGCAAAGTAGGGATGTGCCAACGCCTGAGTGGCCGTGAGTCTTCGGTCAGGGTCCAAAGTCAGAATTTTTCCTAGGAGATCCAGCACTGAAATTGGCAGACGTGGGCAGAACAGAATAAGAACACGTGAACAGAGGAGGGTAGCAGCAGAGAGGGTGGGACTAGGGGATAAGTAACCACCTGAACTGTCTTACTTTGTAATATCTACCTATTTTGTTGCGTGGCTTCGTGTAATATGCATTATTGCCAAGTAAGGGAGAGATATACATAGACATTACGTTATACTACTCGTGATAAGCTAGTAGATGTATTTTATTACTATTTTGACGACCTGAACTGTGAACAAGGCAAAGGGAACTCGCAGGCTTTAATGACGCCATCTCGTTGGCTTTTCCTTGTTCAAATTTCCTCCCGAGAAAACAATGCTTCAATCACCTGAACTGTATTTTTACTCATTATCAGGTCATATTTATGGACGACAGTAACCCTGAGCCCGGGCGGGCACAAGGACATTGACCTAGACAAACAAAAAGTTGTAGTGAACACAGGGAACCGAATCAACCACCAGGAGGTACTTACCAACCGGCGAAGCCCACGGAAACACGTCCCTCAGTTCCTTATTCTCCTGTTCCTTCAAGTTATTAATGAAATCGCGAGCCTAAAGAGGAAATTGCAGGAGGGGGAAGGGGAGGGGTGATTAGTGTCTAGACAGCAGGGTTTAAAAAAGAGGAACGACAGCAGTGATTGCTTTGTGAGACAGGTTTCATAATCAGCCAACAAATGACAGAAATCGAAGCTGGCGGGAGCCCTATGCCACTTGGGTCACTGGTTTACAGTACGGCCCAGAATTCGTGTAACATGCCTACATATGCGAAAGATTGAGTAGGGTTGTAATACTGATTAGCGTGTGGTCTATTCGGAAGTCATTTCAGTCACGATAGGATGCCAGCTTTTTAATGAGCTTCCTTCTGACCGCTAACGAAGAGCATGTACTGCAAAAAAAGTTGCTACTTAAGTAGTATGCATTATCATTGATTTTGACTGCCTTTATAAATTCAAATATATTTTATGGAAAGCGATCATTTATTTTGACTGCCTTTATAAATTCAAATATATTTTATGGAAAACATAAACAAAAAACTATTTCTTGTACTCGTTTGATAGCAAATGACGCCTTCCTTAAAGTTCATACTTAAATTAAGGGTATCCTTCGGTTTTAAAAAGTTTCTAAATTGCCGAATAATTTTTAAACCCACCGACTGCTACACTTGAGTTTAAGGTGTACAAACTGTGTGTTGTGTACGTACTGTTTTGGGAAAAGTACGTTTTCTCCTACGGTTTGATATAGAAGTCACATAGTCCTCATTAAATGTTGCAATAGATGTGGAGCATGTTGTATGCATTATAGACAGCATTAATAAATTGACGGATACGATGTATTATAAATTAACACCTCATAATCGTAAGAAGCTCATAAGTAGAAATTTTTCTTAAACTGAGGTATACCCTTTCCTCAAGTATGAAATTTAAAAAAGGCGTAACTTGCTACGAAACAAGTACAAGAAATAATTTTTTCGTGCATGCTTTCCATGTTAAGCATGCATACTACATAATTGGCCATATTTTATAGCACATACGTTTTAGTAGCGGTCAGAAAGAGGCTCGTTAAGAAGTCGGCACGGGGGTGCGGAGGGCGGAGAAGTCAGGTGCGACATGCTAACTGCCTTTTATTGTCCCACAAATATCGTCTGCAGGTCAACCATTAATCCTCATCAAATAGGAGGCTTGTTTCTCACCCTACCCTTGAGCCAAAATGGCAGGAGTAACCTGAAACAAACCATTTGTACCCAAAATTCATCTAGAAAGCCTGTTTAAACATGCAAAAATCCACCTGAGACTTCATCTGCCACTACTTATGCGACCCATAACGCCGCTCCAAGTGTGGGGTCCTGTGATATAAGAGCGAAGGCGGGGGGCGGAGCTTCAAAGTGTGGCATACCGACTGCCTTATATGGTACCGCAAATCTAGTCTGCACGCCAACCATCAATCTTCATTAAAATAGGCTTGTTTGTCACCACTGTCATGGCGTTAGGACCTTAAACCAAAATAGCACAGAAGACGACCCCGAAAAAACGACTGTTGCGGACCTGCCTATACCCAAAATACCTCTAGAAAGCTCGTTTAAACATGCAAAAATCCATTTGTGACGACATCTGCCCCACGACTACTGCGACCCACAACTCCGATGCTAAGGCGAGGACTAACAGTAGGTGGGGGCAAGAAAGTGGGTAGGGGGGGGGAAGCATAGTAACTTACACTGCTGCTGTTGATTTTTAGCATCAGTTCATTGTCGGGTTTACCCACGACGGTCATGATCTTCTTCACCTGATCAATTTGGTTGAGGCCGCAAAACAGCGGTTTCCGTGTCTTTAGTTCCACCATTATGCATGCGACAGACCATATATCGACTAAAAGGGGCGTAAGAAGAAAATACGAATCCGGATCAGTGAAAAACAGCAAGATTTATAAAAAAAACTGTAACCCAAGCACGCGAGTTTGTAGTATTGTACGGGCAAAGGAAGCAATAGGATTTATAAAACGCATATAAACAGGACACTTCTTCAATTGTTTTGCCTGAAATGATTCATGAGAGCGTTACGCGAACTGAGGCTATTTGCTGTGCCCATATGAGGGTGAATTTGGACGACATGAAAAAAAAAAGAAATGTGTGACTTCAGGGGCGGAGTACTAAAAGAAGCATTGGCGTTTCTTGCAGGGAGGGAGGATAGTGAAACAGCCTTAAGTGAGGTCTTGCAGTGAAATTAGCCAGCCTAGGTGAATTGATCATGTTAGATTTTTCAACGGCAACGTCCTCTGACGTGGCTGGGTGTTGATACGGGAAATCGATTAGTTATAAAAGTTTACAAGCCGTGACGACAGGACGAATGCCGCCTGACGTCTGTCTCAAATCCTTGCCTCAAGGACTGACTAAATGAGATCCGGGACCTCGTCCGTACCACGACTGTGTGCATATCAATAAACATCTACAATATATACGGCGATGACGCTAAAAGCGAAGGAAACCAAAAGATAAGTTGAGCTAAACAGGCGCTAACGACGACTGTGACTCCATTTCTACAAATAGGAAGTCGGGATATCAACGAGTTCTGCAAAGGCAGCTGTGAGCTGGTTCCGTCCTACACCATTCAAATTCAGGCCAACGCATGGACAAAGCGAGATAGCCACAGGACAGGACACGTTGCATGCCGCAACGGTCAGTAAATTGGACGCTGACCTTTGCCGAGCCCCATACGCCCGAAGTGTCCGTGCGGCATTTTGGATGGTTTTAGTCTATCCGACCGTCTAAAAAATAGGTTTAGCCATAGCTGTCGGACAGCGGTTGAGTGGAACAGTTCGACGGAATAATGGTTTCCTGCAGTTGTTCCTCGATGCAAACATGCAGGTTTTTTTGCACGGCCTTCAAATGAGTAGCCTGGAGTGGCAACGTTAGATAATTATCGGGACGCCAATACGCTCCCTACACTAACTCTTTGCCCTAGTTTTTCATCAAATGACCACACCCAAACTGCGCACTTTCAATTTAGAGGGATGAGCAGGAAGTCAGGGCCTGGAAGATGGCATGAAAATGGATGTAGCCCGTATGTGAAATTTTCTGGGGAAGGGTAGAGGGTGGAAGATAGAGAGAGAGGGTGGACGAAAGGGGCTGTGAGCATTATCCTTTTTAACAACTGCACCCATATCCATTGCTGGACGCCGACATTTTGTCTTACCATGGGAACGCGATGGAAGCGGAAATGAAAAGGGATGAAATTGTTGCGCAAATGCATTTCACTGAAAAAAAAAATACACCCAGGTCATCACTACACCCCGGGGGAAATGACGGTTGTTGGTTGGTTAGTAGCCCTTGTTGCATTAGGAGT